GACGCAGGGGGGAGAGAAAAGGAGAGAGACACTGACGGACGCAGGGGGGAGAGAAAAGGAGAGAGACACTGACGGACGCAGGGGGGAGAGAAAAGGAGAGAGACACTGACGGACGCAGGGGGGAGAGAAAAGGAGAGAGACACTGACCGACGCTGGGGGGAGGGATGAGAAGAGGAGAGAGACACTGACCGATGCGGGGGGGAGACACCGACCGACGCAGGGGGGGAGACACCGACTGACGCTAGGGGAGGGGGGAGACACCGACCAACGTTGGGGGAAAGAGGACACACCGACCAACATTGGGGGTAAAGAGGGGAGAGACACCGTCCAACGCTAAGGTCCCTTAAAAATTTCCTCGGCCAAAAAGGGGTCACGAGTGGAGAAAGTTTAGGAAGGCCTGACATAAGAGACCTAAATGATGCTGAAGATACCCACCAGACCTTCTGATTGTCCCTCAGGCATGAGGAGACCCTCAGACGGTTGGATGTCTTCATCCGGGGTACACTGGAGTCTAGCAACGAGATGAAAACCATGCCGGCATTCTCTGATAGTCTCCCGTAATAGGGCAGACCTCAATGACAGTGTCCTGCAACATGCTGGCCTTCCCTATCCGCTTCCTGTAGCGGTGCAAAAGTATTTAACAGTCCGCTGGTATGCACCAGTCCCGTGTGCGCATGCGCAGGAGTTACATTGTCAGTGGTCATCCTATGACCAATGAGGATGCCTGGGAACCCGGAAATGATGGTGGCAGAGATGGTGACAGCGGGGTACCGAAGCATGCCCTTCTCCCGCACAGCACTAGAGAAGGGCATGCTTGTAAGTGCGCCATAAAGTGCACAACAGCACCCAGAGGTTTACTGCCACTTCACCAGCTTCCTGTCTGTATGCAGAGTGTCATCTATGACAAGATGCGGAATACATATATATTAGATATCTTCCTGCTGGCTATGTCTACAGATGGAAATGATCCGCCATGATGGTCTAGTAGGATCATGGAGGATACATTGTGCTACAGATAACAGTTTGGCTGCAGGAAATCACAATCATATAGACAACATGCTCTCTTCCCGTACAGCTCCCCTCCCCCGAAATCTGAAGCCTTCGAGGATTTTAAAGCGGACCGCGGGAGTGAACTGAACCGAATATTTAAGGAGAATAAATCCATCCTGGAGGACAGGAAGAGCAAAATGAAGGAGATCACACAGAGGATCAATATGATCAAGAAAGAGATCGACGTCACTGCGCAGAACCTGGATGTGACGAGACGGGAGAGAGAGAAGCAAGGTATCTGTTATTGGGGATTCGTCAGGAGGAGCTACAAGGGGACGCTATGGTATATGTCAGAGATATATAAATGTATAATGATAATAGTGTGTAAGCTCCTCTGTACAGAGACTGATGTGACTGTGGGGGGAGGGGACATTAGAGTGTAAGCTCCTCTGTACAGAGACTGATGTGACTGTGGGGGGACATTAAAGTGTAAGCTCCTCTCTACAGAGACTGATGTGACTGTGGGGGGGGGGCACATTAGAGTGTCAGCTCCTCTGCACGGAGACTGATGGGACTGTGGGGGAGGGGACATTAGAGTGTAAGCTCCTATGTACAGAGACTGATGTGACTGTGGGGGAGGGGACATTAGAGTGTAAGCTCCTCTGTACAGAGACTGATGTGACTGTGGGGGGAGGGGACATTAGAGTGTAAGCTCCTCTGGTGCTCTCAGCCGGCTCTGTGATTGATGGAGATGAGGGAAGGCGGATCTCATGAATCTCTTCTTATAGGTGAATACATCAGTGAGGAAGGTCAGGTCATCATTGATGAACAGGAGTTCATGCTAATGGTCAGACTGAAGGATCTGAAGAAACAATATCGGGCAGATTATGATGAACTTCAAGACTTGAAGGCCGAGGTTCAGTACTGCCAGAAAATGGTGGACAAATGCCGACAGCGGCTGCTCACAGGTATGGCTCCCCGATCAACCAATATCAGATCAGCTCCACTCAGGGTCATAGTTCAGTTTTAAGTGTTCACCGGTAGGCTGAATCACCCACTAGTTTGTGTCTCTGCCCCGCCCACAATGGTGAGATTTCCCCCCAGTAGTTTGTGTCTCTGCCCCTCCCCCAATGGTGAGATTTCCTCCATGATTGTGTCAGTAGTTTGTGTCTCTGCCCCTCCCACAATGGTGAGATCTCCCCCCAGTAGTTGTGTCTCTGCCCCTCCCACAATGGTGATGGAAGGCGGATCTCATGAATCTCTTCTTATAGGTGAATACATCAGTGAGGAAGGTCAGGTCATCATTGATGAACAGGAGTTCATGCTAATGGTCAGACTGAAGGATCTGAAGAAACAATATCGGGCAGATTATGATGAACTTCAAGACTTGAAGGCCGAGGTTCAGTACTGCCAGAAAATGGTGGACAAATGCCGACAGCGGCTGCTCACAGGTATGGCTCCCCGATCAACCAATATCAGATCAGCTCCACTCAGGGTCATAGTTCAGTTTTAAGTGTTCACCGGTAGGCTGAATCACCCACTAGTTTGTGTCTCTGCCCCGCCCACAATGGTGAGATTTCCCCCCAGTAGTTTGTGTCTCTGCCCCTCCCCCAATGGTGAGATTTCCTCCATGATTGTGTCAGTAGTTTGTGTCTCTGCCCCTCCCACAATGGTGAGATCTCCCCCCAGTAGTTGTGTCTCTGCCCCTCCCACAATGGTGAGATTTCCTCCAGTAGTTTGTGTCTCTGCCCCTCCCATAATGAGATTTTCCCTCCAGTAGTTTGTGTCTCTGCCCCTCCCACAATGGTGAGATTTCCCTCCAAGAGTTGGTTTCTCTGCCCCTCCCACAATGGTGAGATTCCCCCAGTATTTTGTGTCTCTGCCCCTCCCACAATGGTGAGATTTCCCTCAAGTAGTTGTGTCTCTGCCCCTCCCACAATGGTGAGAGTTTTGGTGAATGATATTTCTATCTTACTATGATACATTTATTGTACGTTGTATTCTTGTTGTGCTCTCAGATTTCGAGGCGTGGTATAACGAGTCGTTTGTCCTCCCTGAGGAAGTGCAGAATCTGGTGAAGGTTGGCGGCATCCTGAGACCCGGAGTCATTCCCGTCCGTAAGCTTCTGTCGCTAGTGAGTGATCTGAGCAGGGCCGGGCCCCTACGTGTCCCCTGTGCAACCCGGCCAATCACGTCTCTTCAGATTATTCCACAGCAACTGATTGGCTGATAGAGAAAGATAGTAATGTATAGTGAA